ACTATAGACATTTACCAAAGTTCGTAAGAGTTTCTGGAGGCATGTTATTTAGGAAGTGAACGCCACTCCTGCTTCTAAACCTGTGCTATTCCTACTATTGAGGTCCCTCTTTTTCCTCATTTCGGTCTCCTTTTTGTTTCTTGAAGATGCAAGGTGAAGAAGGCCACGCCCAGGAAGAATTCCCTAACACCAAATCAATACTGTGGCCTGAGTATGTCGCATCTCTCCCTGATCCACTTAAGCCGTGAATGAGTGTGTTGTATCTGTTCCTAATCCTCTCACAGCTCACTCTGATTGTTGTTGTGTACTGTAGAGTCGGAGCCAACCCACAGCTAAGACAGTGGAAGGTTTTCAGAGGCACAGGAGACTGCGGAGGAGACTGCCCATTCTTCTTCCGTGGAGCAGTGGTGGCCTTGAACCATGTGCCTTTGGGATTGCGGTGCAGCTTTTTGCTGCCAGGCCACCAGAGCTCCCAGGACAATCCAAGGATTGTCTGATTACATGATGGAGAAATTGCCAGACTATACAGTGACTGTGGCAATAGGGTTGGGTGTATCAGAGACGGTGAGGCTGGTTCATGCTAGAGCAAGATTCAGAGCCATTGTTCATAGGGTCCCTGGGAGATGAAGTCAGCTCAGCAGCACTTAACAACAGTTGAGAACTGTGGTCTAGTCAAGCTGGTGCATAGTTTTCAGGGACATAATTCAGACCATTAACAGGCTGTGTGTTGCAGGAGCTCTGGGAGGCCACTGCAATAGACTACTCAGCCCAGGAGAGAAGAGAGCTTGTCATTCAAGAGATGTCAAAATTAGTAAAACAGTTAGAACGAGGAATCTGCCATGAGTTATTAATCATGAGTTTCTCCACTGGGGATTCAAAGGACGTCTGATGCTGCCTTCAAGACATTTTTATGCTGTTAGGTGCAGTCTATTCAAGTATGACTCACAGTGACCCTCTGAACAAAAGATCTGCTCCGTCCTCACATTTCCTGACACCTAAGAGCCCACTGCAGCAGTCACTGTGTCAGGGTCTTCCTCTCCTTCGCTGACCCTTCCCCCTTCCCCCAGCATCATGTCGCTCTCCAAGGAACAGCCTCTCTCAACTACATGCCCAAAGTATGTGAGGCCAAGCCTCATCATTCTTGCCTCCCCAGAGCACTCCAGCTGCACCCTCTCCAAGATCGATCTGTTCGTTCTCTTGGCCGTCCGTGGGATGTTCAGGACGCTTCTCCAACACCACAGCTCCAAGGCTGCTTTGATTCAGTGACCATATATACAACAAAACCTCGCTTGATCTTCCACTAGCCTCACAACCTCGGCTGTGCTTTCAGCTCACTGTTGCAGCTGTTGTGTCGATCCATTGCGAGTAAGGTCTTCTCTTTTTCTAAGGGAAGGTCAGTGAAAGCCTTTTGGAGATATGGAGACTGCCCTGAGTTTCTCTTCCTTTGTGTCCTTTGCACTATTATAATCAAACAGAAAGTCTAGAGCTTTCTGTGGTGATTCTGGTGAGGCAGCAAGTCCAGAGCAGTGGGAGCTAAGACCAAACACACAAATAAAACACCAAGAGCCCCATCCACTGCTGTTGAGTGGATTTAAATCATGAAGACCCACCAGCAGGCTACTGAGGCCGTAAATCTTCACATGCAGAGGCTGCCGGTCTTCTCCGTGGAGAGGCTGGCGGACGAGACCTGCTGAGTTTTACGCTAGCAGCCCTACGTGGAATGCACCGAGCCGCAGGCGTGAGGAGGGGCTGGGCACTCGAGCTTGCAGCCTATGGAGATGGAGAGAGCTCCCAAGTATAAAGCCAGCAGCAGGCTGGAAGCACGGGTGCCACTGGGGACTCACAAGCTTGCAGCTGGCATCGCGAAGTCTTGGGCAGAAGTGGCATCTGAGGATGGTGTCCTTTAGACAGTGAGATCTGACCTCATTCTAGGTGGCTCTCTGGTCAAAGGAAGAAGTGCTGACCAGCTGATGTCGGAACAGGAGTGGCAGAGGAGGGGTCTGATTTTCCGCGCGCACGATGTGCTCCATTCTTAAGAGATGGAGGGGAAAAAAGCCACTTTTTTCTTTTTAATTTGCTGGCTTCTGGGGACCCAGGATTTATCCTTCAAAGGTAGATTAAGAATCTGCCCTTTTCATATTTAGTCAGTCAGTTGCCCTTTTTTCTTTTTAAAAGAAAAGGTTTTGTGACAGTTCAAAGCTTTGTTGCTGTTGTTAACTGTGATTAGGAGTCAGTTCTGACTCACGTGACTCTACGGACAAAGTGTGGAAGTGCCTGGTTCTAGCCGCCCTCGCTAGTACCGAGCCCACTGTTCCAGCTCCGGCGTCAGCTCATCTCACCAAGGGGCTGCTTCCTTTCCCACTGGCCGTCAATTTACCAAGCATGATGTCCTCCTCAGGGACTGGTGCGTCCTGGTGACAAAGCCTCAGCATCGAGCTGAAGGAGCCTCCGGCTGCACTCCTTGCAACACTGATTGGTTCGTTCTGCCGGCAGTCCGTGGTACACTCTTCAACAACACTGTGGTCTGAGGGCACCAGCTCTCCACGCTTCTTACTTCTCCGTATTCGGCGTCAGTTAAAGCAACTGAGAGTTAACCGTGGCTCGGTTCGGGTGTGCCTTAGTGTTCAAAGGGCCATATTTCTTTTACTGCCCGTCTCCTTCACTGGACTAAACAGTTGGTCTCTCAGAGTATCGAGGAGGGTCTACAACAGTGCTTGGCGCAGGCTGGTCAGATGCTTGCAAAGCTTTGTCGAATGACTCAGAGTTTGCATGGCTAATTTCCATTTCTCTTCTGGAGCAGAGCTCACAGAGTATGTTATCTCCATTAGATTTTAAAGAAACACGGACATCACAATTGCATCGAGAGGATGAAGAGGACACACAGGAGAGTGAAAAGGCAAGATAAGGAGAAAACACAGCCCCTGAAAGTCAGCAGGACAGAGGAGATCTTAAAAAAAAAAGGCTACTCCTACAGGTGATAAATCTGTGAGCAAATAAATATGGGGGTTCTTCTCTTAAGATACGAAAAGGCTTTGACTTCCTCTCCTTTTTATTCTATCTCTTGGCATCTTTTCCCTTTTCTGCTCTCACCCTTTCATACTCAGACAATGAATCTACTCATAGATAAAACTGTTGAGCAATACAATTTTGTAGGTACCTTTCAATCTTTCCTTCCCTGCGATGATAAAAAGACTCTCTTTATCGTCATCTTCCAACTCTACACTTAAGATTTCTTCCCCTGTATCTCAGGGACATGAGTTTCTCAAATACTATGTTAAGACTAAATGTGCTCCGTCTGAATACTGTCATTAGCCACATATGTTAGCTACAGAGCTCTTGAACTGTGGCTGGCAATACTGAGGAACTGTTTTTGACTTGACTTAAATAGCCCTAAGTGATCAGTAGCTGAACTAGCGCCAAATGATGGAGGAACTGATTTTCAATGTGAGGAGCTAAGATACGGTGCGTGTGGGGTGCAGTGAGCTCATGGGGCTCTTTTGCTTTGGTTTTGGTAAAAACCAGCTTGACAGACTTTTTTCTCCACAGCCCTAGTTTTCTACCTCGGAGAGTTAGTTGTCCCTTTTGTCCAGACTGGCTGACATTTCCTGGCTAAGGGGTAAAAACCTTGGTTTCTTTGTACCTGTGTCTAGCCCTGAGCGACATGCTCTGTGATTGATACCACCTTGCAGGGACTGCTCAATAGACCATGTAAATGGAGTGTCTGTGGCCTGCTGAGAGGGGACTGGGCAGCTGATGGCCCTGGGGGGAGGGCTGTAGAGATAAGCAGCCTTCCCCAACGAGGAGGGAAAAGCGGGATGAGAAGAGGAATCAGGAGAGAAGCCCTTGACCTGCATAAAGCTCAGAGGTCCCTGACTCCTCTAGGGAGCTCTGGTGGCTTTAGGAGGAAGAAGCGGCGCTGCCAACACAAAGGCACACGGTTTGAATCCCCAGCCACGCTGAGGAGAAAGACTGGAGGTCTCCTCCTGCACAATCTGCTGTCTCTGAAAACCCACTGGAAGGGTCAGTTATGAGTTGGTTTCAACTCTACAGTACATAATACAGCCTCCGCTAGAGAGCTCTGGTGGCCCAGTGGGGCAGGAGGTGCACTGCCAACCCAAAGGCAGATGGTTTGAATCTACCAGCTGCTACCCATGCGAAAGATGGTCACTCTCCCCCCGTGTGATTTACAGGCTCTGAAAACACACTCGAGGGCCTCAATGGCACATAACAACAGACGCTTCTCTCTCCCCTTCCTCTTTCCAGCCTTTCTTCTGAAAAATTCGGTGGGTGTCACTGCATATACAAGAAAACACCTGTTTCATTTCAAGGGGGGGGGTGGGCCCTCTTGCTATGGCTATGAACAAGCCAACAGCATCTGTGCAGGCTATAGTCACTTCATTTGCATAGTAGATTAGAGTGGCTTCATTTGCATAGTTATTGACCACACCCTACAAGGTAAAACCAATTACAGGTCTGGCTGCAGCCTAGGGCAAGGCCAGAAGTATCAGGTCTTCAATCTGTTTATAAAAATGTTTGTCAACTTGGACAAAAGTAACAGACCCTCTGGGACAGAAAACTTGTACCTTAAAGGTAACTCCTTAGGGCTTGTTGTTAAGTGTTCTCATAGATGACTCATAGCGACCCTATGAACAAAGACCTCAACACTTGCATGACTTTCATCCTTTCTCCAGGTTCATAGGGTTTCTGGGAGGCAAGCTATTTACGGAAGTGGATGCCGCTCCTGCTTCCAAGCTTAGGGCTTAGGAGATTGGTTTTTTTTGTTTGTTTGTTTGTAACCCTTAGGGCTTAGGGGGTTAAAAACCCGAACCTCTCAGTTGTCTTCAAAGAACCAAAGCAAAAGGCCATTTAAAGGCAGCAGGGTCACCACAGCCCTGCTTCCTAGAAGAAGAAATGGAAATCAGCCACGTCCTGCGCCTCGACGGATGTCTACCCTGTGTGAGACCCTGGCAGGCTGTCTTCCGGAGGCGTTGTTCCCACGCTCACGGCAGGGCTGCTGACTTCTCTCTGTCGTGAATCTGCTGGTGCACAAGGAGATTCCGCTTGGAGGAGAAGCCCTTCCCGCACGACGGGCAGATGAAGGGCTTCTCGCCCGTGTGCGTGCGGTGGTGGACGATGAGGCGGCTCTTGACGGTGAAGCCTTTGCCACATTCCGTGCACTCGTAGGGCTTCTCCCCGGAGTGGATCTGCTGATGGTCGTGGAGGCCGCTCTTGGAGAGGAAGCCCTTCCCGCACTCGCTGCACATGTAGGGCTTCTCGATGGTGTGCGTCTGCTGGTGCAGCAGGACGTAGCGCTTCATGGTGAAGCCCTTCCCGCACTCGTTGCACATGAAGGGCTTCTCGCCGGTGTGAGTCCGCTGGTGGACGATGAGGTTGCTCTTGTAGGCGAAGCCCTTGCCGCACTCGCTGCACACGTAGGGCTTCTCCCCGGTGTGCGTGCGCTGGTGCAGCATGAGCCCGCTGTTGACCACGAAGCCCTTGCCGCAGGTGTCGCAGCGGTAGGGCTTCTCTCCGGTGTGCGTCCGCTTGTGCACGATGAGGCGGCTCTTGAGCGGGAAGCCCTTGCCGCAGTCCCCGCAGATGTAGGGCCGCTCGCCGGTGTGGCTGCGCTGGTGGATGATAAGCATACTCTTGACGCTGAAGCCCTTGCCGCAGTCGCTGCACAGGTAGGACTTGGCCAGCCCGTGGTTGCGCTGGTGGATGATGAGGTTGCTGCGGCGCGGGAAGCACTTGCCGCACTCGCTGCACACGTAGGGCTTCTCGCCCGTGTGCGTGCGCAGGTGCTCGTTGAGGCGGCTGCGCATGGTGAAGGCCTTGCCGCAGTCGCTGCAGATGTAGGGCTTCTCGCCGGTGTGGTTGCGCTGGTGGATGATGACGTAGTGCTTGGTGGTGAAGCCCTTGCCGCAGTCGCTGCAGATGTAGGGCTTCTCGCCGGTGTGGCTGCGCTGGTGGATGACCAGCATGCTCCGGCCCGTGAAGCCCTTGCCGCAGTCGCTGCACACGTAGCACTTCTCGCCGGTGTGGTTGCGCTGGTGGATGATGAGGTTACGCTTGCCCGGGAAGCGCTTGCCGCACTCGGTGCACAGGAAGGGCTTCTCGCCGGTGTGCGTCCGCTGGTGCTCGATCAGGCGGCTCCGGATGGTGAACACCTTGCCACAGTCCCCGCACAGGTAGGACTTCTCCTTCTTGTGGATACGCTCGTGCTCGTTGAGCCGGGACTTGCGGGAGTAGGCCTTCCCACACGTGCTGCACTCGTAGGGCTTCTCGCCCGTGTGCACCCGGTGGTGGTCAACCAGCTGGGACTTCTTCAGGAAGGCTTTTCCACAGTCGCCGCATATGTGGGTCTTCTCTGTGCTGTTCGGGCCCTGGGGGTGAATCACTTGGGGCGTCGTGCTCATGGGTTTCATGACGTTGCTTTGAAACTGGACATGATGGCCGGGCAGGAATGGCCTCCCACCTCCGTTCAGGGTAGCAGAGTTCTTCATCTCATAGCTCCTGTGCTGGCTGGCGAGAGCTGAACTGGAGTCCCAGCTTTTGACGTGAAACCCAAACACTGCATGATTTTGCCTCAAGGGGACGTGATGGCCGGCATTTCCAAGTGCACTAGGATCCACACTCCTCGGCACGCCTGGGCTGCCCCAGCGACCTTGAAGATGATCTCCCATCTTGTAGCCGTCTGGAGAAAGAAAGAGAACAAACAATGAGACCCCTGCATCGTCTTGTCTGAAAGAAAAACTTCCTTGGTGTGAAGTGACTCTTTACTGGAAAAAGCATGAAAGAAATTCTGTGTATGCATGCTCCTTAAAAACAAAGTAAAAAAAAAAAAGACAAGCAGATAGAGTACAAGTATGGTCACAAGTGCCAGCACCTCAACTCTGCCTGATGGCAGCCCTGTACCAGGTGCTGGAGATGGCCACCTCTTCTCACCCCCACGGAGCACGCTGCTGCATTCAAACAGGGCCAGTTCAGAGCAGCCCAGTGCCTCCCCCGTTTTGCCACCAGGGCTCCTCTACAAATAAAACCAGATAAACTGCTAGTTCATAGAGATTTGGCTGCTTTTTAAACAGGAACCAACTAAATGCACAGAGTCAAACATCAGAGAAGGAAGGAGTTTTAAAAATGCAAGCCTGTCATTAGGAGCACTCAGTGTGACAGGCCAGTCCTCAAGAGAACGTGGAGGAAGACAAGACCGCCCACAACGATGAGACCTGCATCCACTCATTCCACAAATAGTTCATTCATGGCTTCCAAATGGGAGGCGCTCTGTTGGTGATGGCTGGGGTACACAGAAATATTATTCCTACTAAGTTGAAATTAGAGTTAAAGGAGACCAAATCAACAAACTGGGAAAGAAAAGAATGGGAAATGCAGACTGCCAAGTGTGCTTTGAGGGATCACGGGAGAAAGATGTGAGAGAGAAAACTGGGATGTAGTTGAGCACAGACACAGTAAGTGAAGAGTTTAATATGTCTGTGTAAAGTACATCTCATACGGAACAATGCATGTGTCACGTAGAGAAAGATGGCGGCCTGGACACAAGATGATTCGTTGAGTGGATCAAGGCAGAAGTTCCACAGTGAAGGATTTTCACGACAGAGAGGAATCAGTGATTACCCTGTTCCCTGTATGGCCTGGACAACTGGGTGAGAAGTAGCTTTTCCTACAGACATGAGACAATGGGAGTGCAGTAAACCAAGTGTGGAACATAAAGACTACGGTGCCTACGGGGCGGGCACACAGAACTGGTTGGGGTCTACATCTCCACAAGGGTTTTGACTGGCGGTGGCACGTGGAGGAAGCAGAAAGAAGCCCTTCCACTGAGCTCAGACACCACCACTAAATAACGATAATGTATCCTCAAGGCCGGTTTCAGCGGTTTGGACACAAAGTGGGATGGGCTTTCAGTGAAGGAAAAATCTAGTATATTCTACAGTCATGACAGCCACTTCATAAAAACAGAACTCAAAAAGTCAAAAATACATGCTGTGTAGGGGACAAACACCAACTGCAGGCCTGCACTTCTCGTACCTGACCAACCCGCAACTCTACACAACATTTAGGGCTTTTTCCTACCATCTGCTCTCTTTTTGTCTTTGTTTTTTTAAAAAGGGCCTGGTGGCGCAGTGGTTTTGAGCTTGGCTGCCGGCCAAAATGCTGGGGCTTCAAAACCACCACTAGGAAGGCCTGGCGATGCCCTTCTGAAAGGCCAGGCCTGAAAACCCTGCGTGGAGCCCCTACCTGCACACGTGGGGTCACAATGAGTCGGAATCAACTCAAGAGCAACGGACAACAATGACATATTTTCCTCCAAAGACCTAAATGTGACGGAGTTGTGATACAGACCCAGGGTCACGTAAAAGGTCAGAGCCCCTGTCATACCGGGACATCTTTGGAATGACTTGGCTGTCTCCCTCGCTGGGTTCTACTCACTCACCTGGAGAGAAGAGATGGTGGGGTTCACTTCCTGCCGTCCACAGCTGTCCTCCCTGCTCGACCATGGAGAACGTATCTGCATTTTCAGCTGGATACCCTATTCATAGGAAATGACAAGACTTGCTGAAGTGCGTTAGGATTTTCCAAAATGGGAAAGCTGTTATATTTTAGAGATTAATTAAGTACAAAATGAACTGCAGACAGAGATCTGTGAATCCATCACTTGATGGAAGTGTCAACAACAGAGCAGGGAAAAGGCCAATGCCTGGGGAGTCGTCCTCACCCACGGACACCAGGTTGCTGTAGTTCTCCAGCATCACATCCCAGTACAGGTCCTTCTGAGCAGGTTCCAGGAGCTGCCACTCCTCCCAGGTGAACTGTATGGCTACATCGTTAAAAGTCAGCAATTCCTATGACAGACAGACAGACAGCCACTGTAGTCAGGTCCAACCCACACGGACCGGATGGGGCAGAAGACAATCACTTCATGGGGTTTGTGGGGGTGTGATTTACCTGATGTGGCTTTTGCTAGTCATACCTAGTAACCCCGACACCATGGCTGGGTAGGGGTGTGCAAACATGCGAGTCGGCGGCCAGAAGGGGCTGGGGTAGCTTACTAACGTGAGAGGGGTAAGTGGCACCTTTCAGGTGGGATGTGGAGAACTCGACTGGGCCTGGTCACTGTGCTGTCCCTGCAGGAGGGGAACACAGAGAATGCAGCACATCCTTTAAGTGTGAGAGCCTTGTGCTAACAGGAGACACAGATGTGCAGTTCTCGGCGCTCAGTGGCACTGGGCAGTGAACACAACGACAGTGGCAGCAGAGCCCAGAACCAGGGGGCCAGGATGGGACAGAGGTGGGCTCTAGGACTGTGCTGTGAGCAAGCTGAGTGCCTCTGGGGCAGGAGCGGGTGCGTTTGGCCGCTGCTGAGGAGATAGGTTTGCTATCTGTGTAGCTAGAGCTGAAAGCCTTTGGGGAGAAGGCTTACTAGTTGACGGGGGGGTACCACGGGGTACAAGGCTGGAAGAGCTACGCACGGCGGAGGGCAAGGTTTCGAGCCTGACTGACAAATATAGCCCAAGTGTTCCTCATCTTGGACTGTTACCTCCCCAGTGACTCGTATAGCCCTGAGAATAGCCCCGAGAAGCGTCTGTGAGTTCTGTGCGGCCAACGCAACAATGGTCAAGCCCAGGAGAGCAGCAGAGTGCCCTGGAGGGGCAGCAGGTGTAAGCGTTGTGAGAAGGGGTCTGGAGAGCGCTGGCCTCCGTCCTGCACCATCTCTCTAGCATTCCAGCGCTCTGGTCTCCTCGGCTGAGGTGCTTCCACGCAGGGATCTCAGGTCCAAAGGATGTGCTCGACTCCTGGCTCTGCTTGAAGGCAGCGAGGGCCCCTTTCTGCCTCTCAGACGGCTCCTCTGAAGCCGGGCAAGTGTTAGTAATGACCAAACCCCCTCTGCACACACCTTCTTTGCAGCTGCACCCTGAGAGGTGCTGGGTCTGTTCCGTACATTATTAGTGAGATGTCTAAGCCCCTTGGTGGACCCACGAGTACTTCACGTGGACAGAGTTCTCCTGGGTCTATGGTGAGAACTAAAAAAGGCTGGCTAGATGAATCACACCACATAATTCACTGACCGTCACATGCTGCCGGAAGGGACTGGTCCCCGGAGAAGGACGTCATGCTTGATAAAAGAGAGGAAGACCCTTAACAAGATGAACTGACACAGTCGCTACAACAGTGGCTTCAAAAGCGGCAGTGATTATGGGGATTGTGCCAGGACCAGGCAGAACTCCCTGCTGCAGAACAAGGTCAGTCTGAGTCAGAACCAACTCAGCAGCCGTGTTCCCATGGGGTCTCTGAGGTGTCCCATAACAGAAACAAAACCCCAGCACTGCCGCTGACAAGGACACAGGGTGACCCTGCAGGACAGAGTGAAACTGCCCGTACGGTTTCCAAGGCTGTAAATCTTTACAGAAGCAGCGGGGCCTCCTTTTCCTCACTCACAGCAGCTGATGGGTTTAAACCCGTGACCCTTTGATTAGCAGGCAGATGCTCTGACTTCTGTGCCCCTAGGACTTCTGTGTCCCTAGGACACCATTCGCCAACTAACTCCACGTTATCTCGAGATGGAAGTGCTAGGAAATACCGACAGTCTGAGCCTCTGTCTGCAGCTCTTCAGGGTCACTGCGTGTCACACAGCCTCTCGTGGTCTCCTGGTGGAGGCCGTCAGTGATAGGAGAGGGAAACTGACTGCTAGTGCAATCCACAGGCCGTCCAGTCAAACATTATGTTCCAAAACTAGTCACTTGGTAGGGATCCTAAGAATACTATCGTCTAGTTTGCCCTGATGGTGGAGTTAAGACTCAAAGGAATTTCTTTCTAGTTCCTGGGCTGACTTGCGTCACAGTGTTCGTGTGTTCGCTGGGTACGTGAACGGCTGTCGACGGGAACCCACCAGAGGCTCCGGCAGACCCAGGGCTCTTTTCCTGTAATGATTTCAGGCTGAGAAACTCTGTGGGGCTGCGTGTGTTCTGTGCTGTGCGTGTTCTGTGCTGTGCGACTGTTTGCGAGTTAGAATCACTTGGCCACATCCAACAGTAACAACGAATTCCTCAGGAAATACTGGGAATAAGAATCCAAAAGTCACCTGGGGGTCCGTCGCCTTCTCCTGTTTCAGGAAGCGGCCCCCGGCGATGGGGATCCCCTGCCTCTGCATGGTCTGAATCGGGCCCAAATCTCTGGTTCGAACTTTCACCAGAAACGGCGAAATCCAGCTTCTCGTGTAGACATGTATCACTTCGGTGTCTGAAAAATATATTTAAACAGCAAACATTTTACTTTATTGATATGCATAAAACACTACACCATAGTCTTTCTCTTGGGCTTGGATCAGGCGGCAGCCAGGTTCTATCGCTCAGCCACGGCCAAAATCAAGGCTCGGGACCTTCGCGGCAAGAAGAAGGAGGAGCTGTTGAAACAGCTGGACCATCTGAAGGTGGAGCTTTCCCAGCTGCGCGTCGCCAAAGTGACAGGCGGTGCTGCGGCTTCTAAGCTCTCCAAAATCCGAGCTGTCCGAAAATCCATCGCCCGTGTTCTCACTGTTATTAACCAGACTCAGAAGGAGAACCTCAGAAAATATTTTTATAAGGACAAGAAGTACAAACCCCTGGATCTGCGGCCCAAGAAAACACGTGCCATGCGCCGAAGGCTCAACAAGCACGAGAACCTGAAGACCAAGAAGCAGCAGCAAAAAGAGAGCCTGTACTACCCACTGCGGAAATACGCAGTCAAGGCCTGAACTTCTTAAATAATTAAAACACAAACCTAGACCATAAAAAAACTCCAACCTTTGCTAGTGTATCAAACATATTCAATGATACAGTAAAAAAAAAAAACCCACCCCAACAGATTTCAGACTATTAAAATCATATAGAATGTATTCTCTGACTAAGGTAGGAGTCATCTTGAAACAATAACAAAAATAACCACAAGATCCCTTAATGCTGGAGAACCTAAGCATTATGGTCCAGGGAAGGCAATAGTAAGGGTGAAAATTAGTGGACGAGGAAAAAAGAAATGACCGAAAATCCAAAATCCGATTTCTCTAGGAGGCTGGGAGGGAAGCAATTTAATCAAGTTGGAAAATTGGAGGTCAGGCTGACTAAGAAAAATTAAGAGAGAAAACAAAAATAGCTAAGGAAACACAGTTAATAGTAAAATGCTGCAGAGTTTAAATATGAGATATGAATATTACAAACAGTTTTCTGCAAGTAAATCTATTTAACATGACATTTACAAAACTTCTGAGGAAGCCTAGCCTTTCAGAGCCTTCCCGCAATGCAGACACGGGCTCCGCTGGCCACCTCGACGTATTCTACTGAACATTTGAGGAAGCGGCGGCACCACGCAGACTGCTGAGTGGCTTATACAGCAGAGTGTCAAGTCTGCAAAGTAAAGGACAGCTCTGCTAGCTTCATGAGCTCCATCAGCATAACCTCGTACCAAGGGACAGGGAACCCAGCCGCCATGCGATGGGTGACTTCGTCTAGGCACGAGCTTGTTCCTCTCACAGAGTGGGGAGAACTATGCAACAGGTGCTGCGTGCGCCCTGGGCTTACGGAGGATGGCGCCCTGGGGGTGAGGCCATGCAGACAAGTTGAACTGGGCAGATTTACTGTCCTCTGAAGCTCTGACTGAGCCACCCCAGGAGAGGAGGGACCTTTGCCACCAAGAAGACCAAAGCAGAGGGTGCATCCTCTGGACGTTGCGGACCTTGTGCCGAGCACCTTCTGGACCCCAGGGACAGCATGAACGTGCCCGAGATGGCACGACGTGGTGGCGGGCATGGTCAGGAGCTAATGACAGGAGACGGGCAGGAGAGAGCAAGCGAGCTGAGCTCCTTGGCACAGGCCTGGCTGCCTGAACCGTGTGCCTCCGGGTACTTGGTGGACCGAATTGAGTCCTTAACGCTGCCTTGAGCTGGGCAGACACAGGCCAAGGGGCCAAGGGCCAGCAGGACGCTTGCCTGGAGGCATGGCCGAGAAGCTGGCCTGACTGACAAACTGTCCTTGGCTGTTTCTACGTCGTAACCTGTTACTTCCCTAAAAAACCTTATAATGTGACCAGTGTAACTAATAAACCTCTTAGAGAAGTGGAGTGCCCAGGGTAGGACAGCTGTTGTCAGAATTAATAAAAGGCTGGGGAGGGGCGTTATGTCCGGCCTCCGGCCTTGAGCAATCAGTTCTGGGCTGATACTGCTGGTGGTTCTTGCCTGCCTCTTGGAAGGCAGGAAGGGGTCAGATACTGCCACAGCGGTGACAGTTCTACACACCCCACTGTCACTCAGTCAAATCCAATTCCCAGTGACTCCCCAGGACAGAGTGGGACTGCCCCTCAGGGATCCCAACGCCGCAGATCTTCATGGTAACAGACAGCATCATCTGGTGGCTGGGTTCAAACCAGCAGCCTTTCAGTTCGCAGCCAAGTGCTTACACAGTGTGCCACCAGGGCTCCTATGAAAAGAGAACCACTAGCCAGTGTCATTCAAAACACAGATAAAAGCATCACAACCAAACAAAACACTCACTACGTACCAACAAACACGTAAAGAAATGCTCGAGATCATGAACTCATATTTCCTCTCTCTCGCTGCTGTGAAGTTGGTTTCGGGGATTATAAACCCCGTGGAAGAGACAGTCTGTCTAGAAGGAGTAACTCCCCAAAGGCTGTCCCATGCCACTGGGACGTCCTCATCAGTTATTAGACGGGTGGCAACCAAAACAGTGAAATGGTGTGAAATCCCAGCAACCACAGCCACGTCCTGTGAGACAGCAAAGAGCTGGTGAAGGTATGGAGGGACTGGAACTCACATGCACTGCGAGGGAGAATGTAAGACTGTGGAACCACTATGGAAAGTAGTGTGCGGTGTCCTTGGTTGGGAACAGAAATGCCATTTGGTCCAGCAGGCCCACCACTACGTATCCACCTTAAAGAGATAAAAGCTGCAGCACAGACAGACATATGCACCCCTGTGTTCACGGCAGCATTTTTTTACAATAGCAAAGAGGTGGAAATAATCTAGGTGTCCATCAGTGAATGAACAGATAGTGAAACTAGGGTGCATTTACACAGTGGACCGCTATGCAATACTAAAAACTGAAAGTTTACCAAAGACAGCGTGGCATGGAAGCATCTAGAGGACAAAATGCTAAGCAGGATAAGTCAGTCTCAAAAGGACTATCACGGGAGAAGACCACTATTCTAAAAAGTGGAGGGAAGGTTTACACACAGAATCATTCTTGGGTGTTTAGTTACCAAGGATGACGAGAGAGCGAGGGAGTTACCAAAGGATGACGAGAGGGCGAGGGAAGTAAAAATAAATAGATAAGGTGGGTAAAGAGAAAGGCAAGGCATTTTTTATCAGACATTGTAATTAATTAGCTGCATTAAACAACTGCAATTAATGTTACAAAACAAAACATATGAAGAGTCAAATAAAACTTTCATTATAAAGTTCAAACACAAAATGTGTGTGAGTTATTAAATGAAAACCCAATATTGTTTATACATTTTTCACGCAAATTTTACAAAATTAATTTGGCAACAGATAAAAAGACAGTCTTAGTAAGAAGCTAACACTGCATTCTCAGAGGTATGCAGTTCAAATCCACAAGATTCTAAGATGTAGGGGTAACCTCCTCCTGTACTGGTTCAGATCCAATTTGACGGTACACACACACACACACACACACACACACACACACACAGAGAGCAATATCGGCTGTGATAGAGTCATCAAGGAGCACAGAATAGTTAACAGTGGAAAATCTAATTTACACTATTTAAAACAAGAGAAATTATAAAATCTGATCAATTTGTGCATGACAATTTCATGAATTTTTTTTTAAATAAGTCTTGAATAAGTAGGAATAGGAGGAAATGCCGTTTTTCCGTAGCCTTGTAGATGAGTCATTTCTAAGGATCGGCATCAGGCTGGTTCCTGGGAGGTGGCGATAAAACCCTCCGGCTTTTCCAGCCTGCTCTACCCCACCATCCTCTCCCGCATCGACCGCACCTGTCTTGGGCTTGGCGGTTGGCTGGAAGGTCTCACAGAGCTTGTCAGCCACACTTAGAATTCAGTGACATGGGACAAACTCAAGCCTCCAGAGCAGCTTGGAGTGAGGAGAACGGTGCATGCAAGTCCCTGATCAGAACTGCCTCTCCTGGCCCTTTGCTGTGGGGGTAGAGGGGGCTTCGTGGGCAAAACATGACAGCTCATAGCTCCATGGAACGGGAACCCTACACAGCCAACCTGCACCATCTCCTATTCCGCTCACTGCACTCTTACTATGTCTTGCTGTCTTCCTCGTGACATCTCTGTTCTATGTGTCTCCCTTTAAGCCCAGTGTGATCATAAAACCGGCTGATCTCCTCGTGAGGGTTCCAAACAGCTAATTCCTCTCATTCCACCCTTACATGGAGGGAGCTCTGGTGGCCTGGTGCAAAGGAATTGCTCTGCCACACCAAAGGCATTCAGTTCAAATCCGCCAACCAGCAGCTCTGTGGGAGAAAGATGGGCAGTGACCTCCCATGTAATCTAATGCCTCTGAAAACTGGAGGGTCAGCTATGAGTTGATTACAACTTGATGGTACAAAACTACAAGCGCTTACAAGGGTGCCATGCGTGTTATTTAAATTACAACTAGCAAGCTAGTCAGTCCTCTGGGTGGGCAGGAGGACCTCTTTGTATAGCCCCCCGCCATGCACTTGGAGTCGTACCCACTGTCCCTAGCAGGGCGTATTTTGTTGCTGCATCACATCTTTCTTTTGTGTGTGTGTGTGTGTCTGTGTGTGTTTTGCATCATATCTTTCTAAGAGACTCGGACCTGGGTTACCCTGGACACGTAACAAAATGGGTGTTGTAAGGCGCTTTCTCAAAAAGTTGCAAATAGAAATACCATTTCATCCAGCAATTCTACTAAGAATATAAACCAAAGAAACCAGAACTGCCACCCAAGCAGATAGATGCACACCCATGTTTATCGAGGCTTTGTTCACAAAGCCTTCTTTGTTCACAAAGAATTGGAAACAACCTAAGTGTCCATCAACAAACGAATGGCTAGAGAAGCTATGATATAGTCCCACAGTGAATATTGTGCTGCATTGAAAAACAAGCAACTCATGAAATATCATGCAAAATGGGTGACCCTGGAGGGCATTCTGCTGAGTGAAATATCTCAGTCACAAAAGGACAAATACTGAACAGTACCACTGTTGTAAAATGGGACTGACATGGGCGTTGAGTGGAGACTGAGAAAGAAGGGATAAATTATGTATACTGCATTGAAACAGATGAAAGAGAGAGAATTGTTTAAAAGGGGTATATGATTAGGTATTATTGTCATGACCTGAGTCCAGAATGAAGGCTGCATGGTGGGGTGTACTTGTGGGGGGTGGGATTGTATAGCAATGAAAGAATTTTTCTTTTCCTTTTCAAAGAGAAGAATGAACTGGAGGGGAGGTTGGGCAGGGATCAAAGTGCAACAGTGAATGAATGGAAATCCAAAATCTTTGTAAATTTTCATTAAAATTAATAATAATAATAACAATTGGAGAAAAAATAAAGAGACTTGGGGGGGAATAAAATATGAATGGATGTCAGGCAGGAAAGCAACACCCTCAGTTACATCATGCTAACAGATAGAGCAGGGCGTGGCAAACTTTTTTGTTAGGGAACAGATGTGGAATACGTTTGTGGACGACATGGCTCATGTGACATTAAGCTACCCTGATGGCTCT